ATAATTAACATTTTCTTTACTTATAATACAAATAGCAGATAAAGGAATAGTATTGCGGTAAATCTATGAAATATTTCGAATTGCTCATCACGTGGTAAGATTTGACTGTCACATTGTTTTAAATACATATCTTTGTTATAATGAACAAATTGAAATGTCCGATATTCTTTACATTTATTAAATATAATTCCGGCCAAAATTGCCCAAGAAAATAAATTCAGCTTAAGATTTTCCCAATATACTGTATATACATATGCACCTAATTTTTAGCATTTATTAAATCATGTGCTTTCCAGTATAGTGATTCGATCCGTTTGTTATCTGATTGGTCGAATCTAATTTATATTTAGGACAGGACTAGACAGCACATGTCATTTTTATTCTACTTTTTTAATCACGAATTCCAACCGAAAACCATAATCATCAGTATTCCAATCGCTTTAATGAAATAAAATGTAGAAAAAACTTTATTATTTTCAAGGACAATAAAGCAAAATTGAATAATCAAAAAAAATCAACAACAAAAGAACTACCGTAAACTGCTGGGTCTTGTATCTGGCAGTTTACGGTAGTAAAAAAACACCATTATTCAATTTATATTCAGATATTTTCTATCCTTCCCAAAGCTTTTTGTAGCTGATGAATTTTTTGGTATAATCCAAAAATAATACTACCAAAGTTATTGATATGTTCTGATTGACCCTTATTCAACCTAATAATAAAATTCAATCGTTATAACAATTTTTTGGAAATTCAAAAAATTCAGGAAACATGCCTTTTCAGTTTTTTAACTTCTTCACGCAGACGATTGACTTCAGAAGACTTTTTGTGTTCTTCACTCAAACGACGACTAATTTGACCAAGTTCTTTCAGATTAAAGTTTTCTGTTTTTAACAAAAATATCTCATTTTGTTGGTTTTCTAAAAGAATGTCAACTTTCCATAGGAATCCTCTGTATTAGTATTTAGAAAAGTGCATTAGACGAAAAATAGTTAAGAATATTCATACTTTCTTGAATTAATGCATTTTTATTATTCAAAGTTATTATCGCTTGTTCATAATTGTAAGAGAAAATAGCTTTCCAAAAGAAAAAAACGACATAAATTATTTTCATTAATATAAACTTTACAAGCATTCAAACAAAAACATTATACCATTCATATTCATGAGTTCAGAAAGTTTCCTATGGAAAACATTCATATTGTAGCTTAATAAATCAATTTAAATAAGAAGATTGACAGGAAAATAAAGGATGATTACATTTTTAAGTCGAAGTTTTCAGCAGTTAACAAAGATATTTCATTTTTTTGATGTTCTAAAATATTTTTCAAAAGAAATCCACTTATTAATATTTAGTGAAATATTAAAAGTTTAAACAGAAAATGAGATCACCTGTAATCACTTTCTCTTCGATCACATTAGGAATATCTTTGAAAACATAAATACGCATTAATTCAAGGAATTTTGATACTTTTGTTTAATACCAGTAAATAGAAATGAAATAATACTCTTACTTTCTGGAACCAACTGAAAATTCATTATGACTGAATAAATTCTCGACAAACGAGGTAAAACCTTAACCTTAAAATTTTAAATTTTTCATAATAACATGCGAACAGAATTCTTTTATTTCTATTCTCGATTCTATACATAATCCACATTAATTAAATCTGTGCGTGTTTTCTGAAAAAATTATTACCTAGGTATTCAAAGAACGATCTGTTTTGCCGTAACGAAAAGGAGGGAGTCACAAGTCAATTTATCAGATTTCAGTTCGATGAATTCTCGTGTAAACAAGATAAAATATTATATTACGTTTAAAGATCTGCAATGCTGCTAAAGTATAAGATCTGCAATATGAATATATATAAAACTTTATACATGTATTGATTTTTACTGTGTACAGTATATAAATATATAATAGGTAGGTATATAACTTATAAAGACTCGCAAAAATGAATCCTCGAATGAAACGTATAACCTTATTTAAAAAAAACTGGGTTCACCAATAACAGTAACAGTATATATTATATTAAATACAATAAGATAAACCGGTATCAGTATTATCATACAGTAAACCGTACTGTACTCAATATGAATCTATCTATATAGTACATATTAATAGAACTAAATAACGTTATAAAAAATAAGATAAAAAACAGGTTCAATATTTATATATGATCTACGATATATAATTCTCACATATATATATTGTATATATATATTTATATATGCTTCTATATTTTAAAACTTGCTTATGGTATGATTTTCTCGGTATTAAATAAATACATATATATAATTCTGATATATATACTATTTAATAGAAAATTACAGGAATTGGTTCATTTTAACTCTTAACTTGTAAAAAATGATTAAAGAACAACATAAATTGTGGCTTCATTTACTCAAAGTTTACCTAACTTTCGGCTGTCTTGTTTCTGGAACTTTGTATATTGTTAACGTTCGTTTATTTTTATTTTTTAATCATATTTGTGTTGGCCATCATGTTATAGCTGAATTAGTCTTTCTTTTTTGCATTCCTAGGCATTAGTGTTTGTCCCAGGACAATATTTAATTGGATCTTGGGTTGAAATTGTCTCAATGTTACAGTATGTTAATTAATTTTGCCGCATTAGTTTTGCCTCGCTCAAAAGCAATGCTGATTTTTTTTGTTTTTTTTTTAACATTTATAGCCATAACGTCGTCAAAACAAACTTACTTTTACTTTTTTGTTTTTACGCGGCACTACCTTTATATATCAATAATACAACAATCGTGAATCTTGGAATCATTTTGAGATTAGCAATTTCAATATGGAATTGGTATTCATTTGTTAACACTGGGTTTTTTTCTTATTTGAATTTTATAGGATGGATATTTTTTTCAGGTATATATATATATATAATTAACTTCTCACAATGATGTTTAAAATGTTCGACTCGTGTGTTTCAAATATTTTATTTTACATTTTGCAGTCTTTTACGAAATTGAAATTACTATTTACCACTTTGCAAGATCGGAACCTCAAGTTTTTATAAGATATACACCTAAATATTTGCTCGTTTTTATCGTCCTTTGTACTGCAAATTTTAGTTGGTTTTATGACTTGAATTACATTAGATGGTTTTGTTTTTTAGTACAAAAGTTTTTCATCATTTTTAAATTGATAAATTGATGCCTCAAATTAGAGTATTAATTATGATTTTTACGTTTAAGTCCTTTTTGTAGTTGAACTTAAAAATCATCACTTTTTGAGATCAGGATTTATTTTATCTGCATTTTACTTGTTTATCTTTTTTATCTGTATTTATTTATTGTTTGTGTTTGAATTATTTTATGCCAGATGTTTTCACGATTGTATTTAAACTCAATAATTCTAAAATCAACTAATAAATTTGGTTTAATTTAGTCGAAATTACTCAAATTTTACACTAGTGCATCCTATCGACATTAAAATATTTCGGGGTTAGCCAATCAAAATGGCCAAAAATTGAATTTGATTGGCTAATGAACAATCAAATAATGCTGATCATCGAATTACGAAACAGGGCTCTGCTGGATAGATAGTTTCTTTATCAGTTATTAGTTAATTCAAATAAGTAAATTGGGTCTATGAATAAACACAAGGGGTGCACTTAAGGAGGTCCTACTGTATATTATATATTGATGGTTTTATTTTAAAATATTGCATCGTTTGTTTATGTGGTTAAAATTTTTCACTTGATTATTAATCTTACTAACTGTTGAATTTATTATTAGTCGATTTGTGCAATCAGGATCTCGTGACTTTACAACTACATTGGATTCAGTAACTTTCGATTTGGATTGCAGTGGATGACTTTGTTTATCTGGTATATATTATCCATTCAATCAAAATTTTTTGATTAAAATTGTATTTACGCCTTATTCGGAATTTAAAATCATATTTACTTGGCAGAATTGGGATCTCGTGATATTATAGACCATTTGTTTACTTCTTTTATCTTATGTCATTTAATTTTATTTGAATTGTTTAATTCAAAAATTGATAAATGGCCCGTTATTTGTTTCGGTCCAAATTAAGTTCAATTTACAAATTTAGTTTTACTTGGTTCTCTTGTTTCTTTACAGTCATTTACAAAAATTAATAAAATTTAGAGTGTAAGTTGTACCCGTGTCCTCGTAGAATTTGAACAATTACTGAATATTTTAAATTTGTTTTATCAATTTTTTAAATATGTATAATTTTCAAGAAAATTTCACATTGGATCTTTTCAATATTGCTTCTAAGATATACATTGTTTTTATAATACTACAAAAACCGGTTTATTGTAAATATAATTTTATCCGGTTTTCCCGATTCATTAACAAAACCGGTTTATAGATATGTAAAATTAACGTGGTGTCCGAAAAATTTTGACGTCATGTAACCCGAACTCCGACCTAAATAATTTTTTGAAATCACCAAATTTTAAGCTAACCGGTGTACTAAGTAAAATTGTTTGGTTTGTTACTCGTCAGTATATAATGCTCCACAGGTTCGATCCGAGCTCTGAATCCGAATCGACGGAGTGGCTCGGGTTACATAAATTGCAAGATTTACCGGTATTTCATTTTGGCATATTCACTTTGTACTTAAACTTGATCCGATCCAATCATTATCCGATAAATTATTTCGGAATAGTGTTCCGCAGACCGGCTACGGTTCGGGTCCGGGTCTATGATTTTCTGATTCGACTGGTTCCAAGTATTCCGACCCGAGTCTTGATTTTACGTCACGGGACTTTCATTAGTCAATGATCACATGATAAAAATATTATGACATCATCTGTTTACTTTTTTGTAATAAATAAACATTACTGTTTTTATTTCGTTATCAGTGTTTACATATTTGCATAAAATCCGTAATAATGTTAAGTCCACAAGATGGTGAAAATTTTTTAATGAATTTATTTTTGACATTAAAAAATCGAAAAATTCGAAATGTGAAGATATAGGACTGTTAAGGTTCTTAGAATTTTGTGAAAAAAGGGTGGCTCTTGAAGTTAACGACAGAAAAATTTTACACAAAAAATATTTGGAAGGTTTAGATGCTATGATTAAGGGTATATCTGATATTTAATTTTTTGAAGACTGAATATCTAAATATAATATCTATTGTCCTCTATTTATCCTTGAGCTTCTCTGAATATATTTTTCTGATAGAAACACTTAAGCGAAAAAATAACAATTTTTCAAAAGATAAACTTCAATCAATTAGAACCAACTTTCCGGTAAGCAGTAATGAAGAACCCAAAGTTATACTGTGAACAACAAGAGACTACTAAATTAGTTTCGTGATAATGATTATAATGATTGCATTAATATTTCTGACTGATGTAATTTTATGGGACCAGAAACTACTAAATTAGTTTGCATCAAAAATTATCTGGTTTTACTATGTTGACCTTAGCAATTTTTGATTGGTTCCTTCTTAGCATTACGGATGTCTTTAGAGGATCAGAGACTACTAAATTAGTCTCGTGTCAAAAATTATCTGGTTACAAGGATAACCTTGCAGTTTTTGACTGGTTCCTGCTTTAATTATTATGTGATATCGATTAAATAGACGAATATTTGTTCATCAGTATTTAGGCTTTGTTCTTATGATTTTTAATTGTAACTACAATACTAACGCTTATATATATATCTTTTATAGGTTACTTGTGCATGTTACGAAGTATATAAGTTTTGGACAAATGTTGCGTATTTGAACGAAAAAGATAAAAATTGTAAGATCATTTATTCTACATGATTGATTAATAAGATACGATAAAAAAAATTACAACTACTTTTCTAATTTTATTTAATTTTCTAATTTTATTTATAGTGCCAGAGAGCCATATTAATAATCTAACTATTATATGGAAGATTTTGAATAATTGCAAAGACATCACTGAAATAAAAAGCATTATGCATTTTATTCAAAACATGGGAGTAGAACAAATTAAGGAAATCAAAAATACAAATCAGCAAAAACAAAAAATCGAGACACTTGAATACTATTTAACACTTAAGGTAATTGAATATTAATTAATCATTTTATTATTTATTAAACTAAAATATTTATATTTGTAAAATTAGAATGGCAGTCCCAAATGGTTTATTAATAAGCTAAATGAACTTTCTAAGTATCGTGAACAAGTTCTTAAATATTCCTTATTAGATCCTTTCTGGTGTCATATTGTTGATTTTGGAAAAGAAGAATCAGTTTGGAAGAAAATATATGCAAAATCATTACTAGATCGACTGAAAACCAAATGCTTTCAACTAGATATAAACCAAATTGATGATATCATTACCACAGTAGATCAAGCATACAGTGATTATAATCTTAGTAATGAACCACCTTCCATTGAGATAAAGTCTCTCCTCGATTTTAAACAAAAAAGTTTGGCTGAATCTATTCTTATACGATGGCAAGTATCCAGATGCAAGTATCCAATTCTTAAGGCTAATTATGAGTGAAAGTTAAGATTTAATTAATTTTTTAGGATAAGACTATGGATTAATCCATTTGATAACATTTATGAATCCGATTTAGTTCTAAATTACATATTTATCCCTTTGGAGATTGTTCTGAACAAGTTCTTATTTGGCAAATTTCATTTACATGGGTAATTAAAATTTTAAAATTAATTATTTTGATTGCAGTATATACCACAAATTTATATAAAGCTAAACATTAGACCAGAACATCCAACGCAATGCTCTTATGAGCGTAAAAAACTATACCATCGCCCCCCTTTTAATGATTGGCCAAAGAATCTAGAAGAAGCAGTGACATTATTTGAGAAGCCTGAAGATGATAATCTTGACGTTAATGATTCTGTTCAAGAAACAGTTGTTATTATTAATAGCAACGACAATGATCCAATCTATATTTCAAATAATAAAGACAAATTGAAATCTCTTGATACTACCAAAGAACAAGGAGTCACACTCTTTCGAGTGTATAGCCGGAAAGTTGATACTGCTGTAACCTATTCTCCAGAAACTGATATAAAATTGTACCTTCTCATTTGTGAAGCAAAACATCCGTACATTTCTCAACGTGGAGATTATAATAAACTATGCAGAATGCTTAATGATGCTGCGAATAGTTTTATTTTATACTGGGTCAAAAAATGCAAAATGGTTACCAATGAACTAAAAAAATTGTTTTCTGAGATGCGATGGATCGGATTATTTTCATCTGATATGTAAAACTACATAAATTGTATGGTCTAGTAACGATTATAATGTTTTTTTTTTGTTAATTTAGATGGGAAGATTTATTTTATGATATACCAAATATGTGAAGAAACCAAGATACATTTCATTACATATCAAAGTTCTTATCCCATTTCAATTCCAATCAAACATGAAAATCATGATATGGCAAGCGCATTAGAAATATTTTTACAGGTTGAGGTTAATATCAATAATAATAAGATGCAAAAATCTTTCTATTCTTTGTTTTTTGAATAATATTTGTATTAATTATTTTATATTTGATTTATGTTTAGGACATTTTTTTCGAATGAACTTGAAAGTGATTGAAAAAATTCATAAGATAGCAGATCAAATAAATACAAATGACACAGAACCTTATAAAACAGCAGCTCAAGAATATCTAACGAGAGTCATCAGTGAAACGCCTTCAACTCCACTTAAATAACTCATGTAAATCGTATTAATAAAGAAATTTATCAAATATCAATTAGAAATTTAATAATTAATATCGATCAAGTAATAGTGATAACTTCAAATTCTCTTCAAAGCAATTTATCAAATTTCAGTTAATAATTCTCGTGACGTTTAAAAGATATATAAAATAACTATTTTAAAATTAAACAAAACATGAAAATTAGTATATATATTCTTACTTTGGCCACTAGAAACTTGTAATACCCGTATTGTGTAAATTTACAACACGAAATAGTACCCGTTGACATAAGATCACATGTGATTTCGATAATCAACTGTGAAAATTTTTTGATTTGATATTTTTATCGAATTTAATCATTTGGCTGTAAGATACCTTCGCTCAAAGTGGGTTAAGCTGCAAAAAAAATACGATATATGATACATTCGATTTTGTTTAAACTGCAAAAAAGGAGATCTAATTTTTTTTGCGTGACTTTAAGTCACGGGAATTTATTTTCATTCACGAATTACGTGATTATTTGTTATCAACACGTGATTATCATTAGCATTGATTTATGTTTAGGCATATGATCTGCCAATTCATTAACCATGCAACATTTGTCAACTATTCATGTAAAAATACGACGCGAAATATTCATTATAATTATTTACATTATCGATAGAAAAATTTATTAAATTCATTTATTTAGAACGCGAAAAATTGTTTTATTTACAAAAAGATAAAACAATTAAAATGTGCACTACAATCAATCTCTAATAATCTGAGAAGGATTAATAACAAGAAAAGATTCGCCTGAGTGAAGTAAGGGTCACAATTCCAAGATGTCAATAAACTTCTTAAAGTGGGAATTCATGGTTGAACTGCATAAGGTCAGAAATAAATCATGTAAGATAAACTTTTCAAGCTTCAAAATCGCGTGTTTCAGTAAGATGGGTTATTGTTTCGGTCCAAATTAAGTTCAATTTACAAATTTAACTTTTCTTGGTCAAAATTAGAATTTATTAAATAAACAAGCATATTGATCCCTTGGTATTAAAATTTTTCAATAAAGTTTGTACTGGACAAATTTCTATACTTCTATTTTTTAAATAGTGGAAGCACTTGTACACATAGTTGAATTCATTTGGCGTTCATGACATGGGATCAATTATTTCATTCTAATCTGTAAAAGTGCAGTAACGTGATCATAGATTTGGTCTGCATTATCTAATTAGGCCGATGGTAATCAAAAAGGAATTGGGATTCTAAATAACCAAATGACCAAATGACAAGGTAGAGATGTGTACTGCGGTACTGATAAGCTACAATTTATTTAATTGTAATGTGCATTTGGTTTTGCGCGAATTTATAATATACTAATATTAAGAGAGAAAGAAAAATTCAAAGTAATCATACATATTCGTTTTTAAAGAAGTAGGGCAAACTTAAGTATAATTCCTTCGAGGCAAAATTAAACTTAGTTTCAAGCAAATTTATTTGATTTTAGTTCGTTGCTATTTTTAGTAGATCATCATTCTATCATTCAAGCCCTTTTTTTCGTATGTATAAACATATAAACCGAAATGACGTAATCTGTAATCTTTTAATGATGTGTTGATTGCATATTATTGATGATTGGTCAATTTTCAACTGAAAACAAATTCGCTAACCAATCAAATTAATTCAATATAATTATCAATCGAACAATAAAATGATAATTATTCTTTATTTTCCAAAGGCAAATTTAAATGATTGAATTATAATTTCAACCATTATCAATTTTTCTAACAATTTTTCTAATATTGATATTAATAAGAAATTGCAACAGACAAAATGAAAGAGCAAATAAAGAGTATGCTCAATAATGTCGAAATTATCATGAGATCCTGACTGAGCAAAATGATAAATATCATATTCAACACCAAATAAGACTATTAAGAATAAAAATAATTAATACGGTATTTGATTCAAAAATTTTAAATGCAATGATGAAAATTGGTATATACCTATTAAACAAAACCATCCAATGTAGTTCAATTCAGAATATCGAACAAGGATAGCGAAGCCAATGAAATTCAAAATTGAATAACAGATGAAGAAAATGCAGATAAACACTGTATGTCTCAAAATTTTACGAAAAGATCCTGATTGTGCAATACGACGGATATGGTTAAGTTCAATTCCAAATAAGACTAAAAATGTAAAAAATGATTAGTACCGTACTTCAGGGTTGTTCCTGGACATGGACATGGACCTAATGGACGGCCACATGTCGATGGACAGGCGTCCGGAACATCACTACCGTACTTGAGCCAACAAACTTAATGAATGCTTTCATATATACCAAATAAACATAACCATCCAAAAAAATTTGAACCAGAGTTCCAATCAATGTTAACGAATTTGCCGTTAAAAAACCTGCTATAGTTAACGAATGAACACCAATTCCACGTTGAAATCGCAATTCTTAAAATGAATAGTACATCTTTGATTATCTTTTTGTTGGTTAATAAAGGTAACATTGCGACAGGACCAAAAATTAGAAAATTTATTTTGTAGACATTTTTCACGTCTTCATAGCTGTAAAATGTAAAGCATATATGAAGCAAGCAAAAATAATGAAAAACTTGAATTTACTGTAACAAAATATATGAAGCAAGCAAAAAGAATGAAAAATAGAATTTACTGTAACAAAACTTCGATGGAAGGTTTAAATGATAATCCAAAGATAAATTCTAATACCTAAAATACAAAAAAATATGAATTTAGCAAAAAAAAAAAGAATATTATTCAAAAGCAATATTACAATATTATAAATTAAAAATTAAACATACTCTAAAAATAAAAACTCCAGAAGCAATAACAAAGCAAAAATTTATGTAAACTTTGAGTAAATGGCTTTGTATAGCTTGTTCAGAAAACTGCGTACTCATATTTTTACAAGTTAGAATTCAAGAACTATATAAACCGAGAAAATGCACCATAATATAGTTTTAAATATGTGCATTAGTAAATAATATATAATATAGATAAGTAACTATTGCAGATCCTATATATTTTTAAACTTGTTTTTAAGTTGTGGAACCAGTTTTTTGTCAAAATATTTAACATCCATCCCAGATCAAAATTTCCCAACATCTTCTCAGAAAAAAACGGGCACAAATTTAAATTTAAGAGCTTCAATAATAATAGAATAAGGTGGGAATAATTATTTCTATTACGCGTTTATTAAAATTTGCATCATATTTATAAATTTATCTTAATTCTTTAAAGTAAATAAAACAAAAATGCGAAAAAAGAACTACCGGTAAGAATAATAGGATGCGTTGAATAAATTTTGCAAGATATTTAATAAATTTAACACAATTCTTAAATAGTCGACGAAGCAGAAATAAAAAGAACCACCAGTAAGAATAATAGGATAATTTTTTTACAGCGCGTTGAATAATAAAATTTGCGATATATTTTTAAATTTATTTCAATTCTTGAATAGTCGACGAAATAGAAAGTTCTTTACAAATACTACAGTTAATATAGTAAAGAATAATAATTATAATATTTCAGCCAGTGTTGTAATGTTACTGGTATTGCTTACAGTTAACATCCTTGTGTTATTCAGCATCCTTGTGTTATTCTTTTCGAACTACAATAGGTTTTTCGTGGCTAAAATATTATTGATGTTGTTTACATTTAACATCCTGGCGTTATTATTTTATATCTACTTTTGTATTTGATTACTTACATACTTCAGTTAGTTTATTTGGTTCTCTTGATTCTTTATAGTCTTCTACAAAAATTAATAAAAATTTAAAGTATAAGTTGTTTCCGTGTCCTTTGATCTTCTCGTAAATATGGACAACTAATGATTTGGTTTATCAGTTGAATCAGGAATAGAATCTAATCTGGACTCCCTTTGTTTTTATATTAACCAACTTGCTTTATTTTCAACAGCTTAATTCCAAATCGTGTTTTGCCTTTATTACATATGACACATTTAATGCGAGTCAGATTATATGTTGATGCAGGCCAGTTTAACCTAAGCTAGTGATGTGCAAAAAAAAGTTTAGAATATTCTAGAACAAATGATAAAACTATTAATAAACTTCTTAATTCATTTATGTCGCATGATATTTTACTTTGAAAAGGTGAATCTCATGTAAAATAAACTTTAAATTTTTGTATAATACCGGTTTTATGAAGTAGGGTCAGTCAATAAACTTTTCAAGCTTTAAAATCGCGTGTTTCAGTAAGAATATCGCATAATATCGCGTCAAATCATCAATCACGTTTGTATATTGCTCCAAAAAAAGACCGAAAATTCCAACTGTTCATTTACTAAGAGCACCGAAAATTTATGTATTCCACTAATATAAAAAACTACTTTAATTTAAAGTTCAATTCAATGATTTACGATTATCCAAATTTAGTACTATTTTTAACGCTAATATAAAAATTACTCTAACTTTAAGTTTAATTCCGGTTTTATATTGGTAATATAAATTAATTTAAATGTTACATATTAATAAACCGGATAAAATTATATATACTATAATATAATAATAAATAACGAGTTTTCAAATATACATAGTACGAGTTTGCTAAAAAGTTAACTAGTTAAGACTTCAAGATCTCTAGTAATTGCTGAAAGATGTGAATATTATTTAAAATTTATACAGGTTTTATTTTAAGTGAAAGTGATTTGAATTTTTATTATTGTTTGGTTTGCTTATTTAAAAATTATATGTTGTGGCTTTCATTAAAAATACGATATGATAACAGATTTTAATTCGACACGTGATTAAGTTATTGTGATAAAAAGAATTTGATTCGTAAAGAAGCATTAAAAAAAAATGAATAGCAATGAGTTTGAAATCCTTGAAGAGATTTCTATTTTTCAAAACTATGAAATAATTGCTCCTTTATATTTAACAATTCCTAACAATAAAACTTTAAATGTATATTTTCAACTTATCGGTGACACTTCTATCGAATTTTACTATGACTCGAATTTGTTTGATAACAAATTTTCTATCAAGGCGGAGTATGCAAAGATTATTAGTTATTCGAAAAGTAGATTTGTGAAGTTTCAAAATGTTACTTCTTTCGACCGTTACGAGAATACCATTGAAGCCGATAAAATCGAATATATAATGTATTATCCGGATGGATTCTTTTATCAGAACTACATTGAAAAGGGATTTTATCGTGAATCTGGAACATATATCAAAAATTTTATTTTAACAAATGAATATATTTTGGTTGATTCTAAAAGTACGCATACTCTTGAGATGCTAATGGTTTTTTAATTAATTGGGTTTTGTTATACATTGTTCCTCTTTACTTCTTCGATAAATGTATGTTAATTGTAATATATAGTTAATTTAGATATTGACATATCTGATACTGGTACAATTACTGAGCCCAGTGGTGCTTGATTAAAATTTTTCTGCAATCAAATTGCTTGGTGTTCGAATACTTTAAATTCATTAAAATTTGCAATTAAAATTATTATTATTTAACTCTAAAGACAGACACGTGATATTATACGTAGTCTGAAGCATGAAAAATTACTAGTTCCTTTCCGGCATCTGATTGGCTGGAACAAGTGATCGGCGAAAATTTTAGCGTACAGCACGATGATCCGTTATTCAGTTATTAAAGTAAAAGCAGTCTGATACTCGATCTTTGTTTAAGTCAAAAAGAAATCCTAAATAAAGTGCAAATCACCAGTCGATACATTATTAGAATGAAAGGTAAATTTCGTATAATTGTTAAAAAAGGTATTTTACTAATATATTTTATTTAATTAGATAAAGATTTACTATTTTATGCTTTTACTTAATCCAACGAATCAATCTAATAGAATTGGCAAATGAAATTCAGTTATATTTGGATGATTGCTCTCATTGTATACTTACTTATTAACTTTTTTACGGGTTAAATGATATAAAGACAGATTAAGTGTGTGAAGAAAAGTAAGTTTGTCAGGAATTTATAAAAAACGCAAATGATAATTACTATAATTAACTAATACAGAAATTACAATTATCAAAAACATATAATTACAGTATAAAAGATCATTTTTAATTTTACGTATAATCTTTCCTGACGTTCTTAAATCTCAATCATCATCTTATCAATCTTTTCACCAGCAGAATTATCTTTTAAGACTTTAGAAAAGTATTCGGGAATTCTTAAAAGTATCATAATAAATCACATGACTTAAAGGACCCACGTGTGCGTTTTTTTTGACTAAGGAGGATTAATATAAGCATTTCCTATGTCATTATTAAAACTATTCGACTGGTAGCTTTATCGTTAACTAAATAATTTTTAATTTAATTTTTTTTAGAGATATGCAATAAACTCATGAAAGGCTTTTTATATAACAAATATTACAAAAAAATACATTTGGTCAATTTATATTACCACATATTACAAAATTACGTTTGGTCAATTTAAAAGATTAAACTAAACTTTGTACTAAAAAATGGAAATAAACATGGAATAGGTAACACATCCGGTAAATTTTCCAGGAACGAAAAATTAGAACACGTAATCACGAAAATTGATGTAGCACCACTTCATATAACCAATCTGTTTGCGCAATACTGATTGGTCCATGAAGTGGCGCTGCATCAATTTTCGTGACTACATGATCTAATTCTTCGTTCCTGAAAATTTGCCAGAAGTGTCGCCTTTTCTACATTAAATCCAATAAAATTAAAACATACTATGTATAAAGTTATTGAGATTTTAATTTTTCGATTCAATAATTTCAATGTCATGTGAACTGTCAGTCCTTATCTTACTGATCAAATATTTTGTCAAAACTCTTAATTTCGTGTCCTTCTTTTCAATCTTTGCCGTTAATCGTCTAATCTCTTCCGTTAATTGTAATGTTAAATTCTGAAAATAATTGTTATATTGAACAAAATATTCAAAATATTCATTGAAACAGTTTTGATAATTTGTTCGCAACCGTGTCCTTTCATTCTGAAGTACTTCTTTAAATTGCAATCTAGCATACTCCATTTGGTAAATTTGCTTTTGATGAGCATTGATATTGTTATTCATTTCATTTTTGATTCGTTGAATTTCTTGTATAAGACGTTTATTTTCTTGTTCAAGGATTCTAATCTGTTCATTTTCTTGCTTTTCTTTATTTAAATTTTTCATGAGTCGTTGGAAAGTATTTATGATACTTTCTTTCAGTTCATATATTTGTTCATTTACTTGTTTTAATTTATCTAAATTTTTCATGAGTTGTTGGAGAACATTTATGATACTTTCTTTCAATTCATATATTTGTTCATTTAATTGTTTTAATTTATCTAAATTTTTCATGAGTCGTTGGAGAGTAATTATGATACTTTCTTTCAATTCATATTTGGACTCCTCTTCATCGTCGTCAAACACTTCAATAACCAATATTGAATCATCATAACCAGTTGCATTGTTTTCTTCGGAATAAGAGGTATAATGAAAAATAAGAGCAAAAATAAACAAAAGGGAGCAAATAATGAAAATAATATCCATTTTGTAAATCAGATTCCCTAAGAATGCTTCTATCAAAATTTAAATATTTTTATAGGAATTCAACTTCTGCATAACTCTTCTTAATTTATAAGCAATCTTGGGGCGGGAGTCTCTCTTTGATTCAAAAAATAATTTTTTTTAATGCTCAAGACCTGATTTTTCGCAAATGTGCATTATCGCGCAGTCTTTTAGGGCTTAGCACGCGTATTAGTACGCGCGCTTTTGCTCTTTATGATTCTCTATTGTATTACCTGCAATGTAATCAGAATAATTGAAAAACTTGTTTATATAAAAAAAACGATAATAAAGGATGCATTATCACGCATATTTTGTGCTAGTTATGCGTACTAGAACGCGCTTGTACTTTGTACTTTATATTGTTACCTGAATTATAAATATTAGATCTCTTTGTGAAACAGTATAATATAAAAACCGGTTTTTAAAATTAAAAAATTATTAATTGCGACTGGAGATTAAATTGATGGAGGTAGCCAATATTCAGTTATATTATCTAGCAATCATTAGTTGAGTCTATCATCTAAGTATCGTTATTCACTAATGTAAGTATAAGAAATTTTGATATTTTCTTGTTCAAAAATGTTCATTTTAGTATAATACCATTTACATATAAATTTGACAATCTCTTCGAACCGTAACAAAAAGTTATTAATAAAACTTGTGATAATGTATAAACCGGTTTTTATAATGTAAACACAAAAAATTACAATAAAAAGGCGTATGCCCAGTACGTATAATCTAACTAGATTCTAGCCCAATTAATAATCAAATACTGATATGTTGAACCCATTCTTGCTTAGCATGTATGGGTTGAAATTATGTCATAGTTGCGGTGTAACTATCATGATGTCGCTGAAGATGTGGCTTAGTACACGTATCAGAATGCGCTGTTGTTCTTTGTATTACGCAATAAATAATTGAGTATACCGAATATATAATTTTATATAATATTGTTGTGTTTTAATTTTTTTTTTTAATAATAAACTCGGCACCAATCATTGTGAAACATAAGAACAATTGAGGTTAATATAATTTTTTCAGTAATATATATATAATAATCTACAAAAAATATTATTAATTGCTCAATCATTAATCTAAAAAAAAATAAAATAAAATATCCGAACAAATCAATGTTAATTTTAATATTGTATTTAATGGTGATTGTAGGCAACCCCAAACTTACTAAGCATGTATTGCTGTAAATGATATAATTATTATGAATACAAGACGTAGAAATTATCCTATTTTAAACATATAAAATCAAATAGACCTTTTTTCTCTCACTTAGAAATCAAGAGTCTGCTGAAATGAATCTGGATGAAGCCTATGTTGCTTCGAGAAGCTTGGATTGGGTTAGTTGGTTTAAGCTGGTATTTAAAGGTGAGTGTGGGCAACCCCCATTCTTACTTAACATGTATGGGTTGAAGTTACGCTG